GATGTAAACAGGATATGCAGAGTTACAGGGAACAAGGTAATTCTCTTGGTTACAGCATTACAATTGGTTAACATTATACATTTAGCATTCCTTATCGGAGATCTCCCAGGTGATGTTTTTCTGAAGTTTGAAAGAAATATGGAGGAATATGATTGTGCTGGGCTCAGGAAGTTGGGAGATATATGGGGGATGTGCCTCATTCCTTTCAGCCCCACTGTTAGTGACTGTTGGCCCAAAGGCCTGGCATGCCGTCCTAGACTACCTGATTGTGTTTACATTGACAATGTTGACCGTGCAACTCATTCTGCTCTGCAGTTTATAATTATAAACTATGGTTTACCTCAGCTTTGTCAAGGGAGTTCAAACCAGAGCAACTCCATCTTGAATAGGGGCTGGGTAAAATGAGGCTGAGACCACTGGGCTGCATTCCCACGAGATCAGGCATTCATAGTCACAGGTTGAGACAGGAAGTCACAAGATACAAGTAGTAACAACCTGTATCTCAACAGGATAACAGGATGCGGTAAAGAAGATGGCCAAAACCCACCAAAACCAAGATGGTGATGAAAGCGACATCTGATCATCCCCACTGCTCATTATACATAAATTATAATACATTTGCCTGCTAAAAGACACTCCCAACAGTGCCATGACAGTTTACAAATGCCATGGCAATGTCCAGAAGCTACCCCATATGGTCTGAAAGGGGGAGGGACCCTCAGTTTCGGGAATTGCCTGCCCCTTTCCTGGAAAGCTCGTGAATAATCCACCACTTGTTCGGCATATAATCAGGAGATAACCATAAAAATAGCCAGCCAGCAGCCCTTAGGGCTGCTCTGTCTATGGAATAGCCATTGTTTTTGTTTCTTTACTTCTCTAGTAAACTTGCTTTCTCTTTACTCTGTGGACTAACCCCAAATTCTTTTTCTTCATGAGATCCGGGAACCCTTTAGGATTCTGGATCAGGACCCCTTTCCGGTAACCTCTTGATATTTAAATGGAGTCAGTAATCACTAACAATCCATTAAAGCAAAGTCTTTTCCATCCTTGAATTCTTTATCTTGAACTGTCTCTTGATTGTCTAGATTTTGCAAGTAACTTTTCCAAAAAGGGTTGATCAGTGCCATATTTCCTGAGTACTGTTTTTCTCATATCTATCTATATTATATATTATTCTATTATAATCTAATATATTGTTCTTCCATATTATGGATAACCACTATCTTTTCTTTTATCTCTGCCCTCTATGTTTTCTTAACCCTATCTTCCGTGTCATGGATTCTTTTTTCAGCATATCTATGCTTCTTACTGCTTCTGTTGTGATTTTTCATTTCCAAAATAACTTTAATGTTATGTATCATTTTTTTCCTTACTGAAGCCAGTTACTTCATCTTCCTCTCTGATCTCTCATATTTCCTCCTGAAGCTCTTTGGCAAAGAACCTTTTTTTTTTTTTTTTTGAGACAGGGTCTTGCTCTGTTGCCTAGGCTGGAGTGCAGGGACGTGATCTCGGCTCACTGCAACCTCCACCTCCCAGGTTCAAGCTATTCTCCTGCCTTAGCCTCCTGAGTAGCTGAGATTACAGGCATGTGCCACCATACCCAGATAATTTTTTTGTGTGTTTTTAGTAGAGACAGGGTTTCACCATGTTGGCCAGGCTGGTTTTGAACTCCTGACTTCAAGTGATCCACCCGCCTCAGCCGCCCAAGGTGTTGGGGTTACAGTGTGAGCCACCGCTCATAGCCCCTTTGGCAAAGATTTTATGGGTTCCTTTTAAATTCTTTGAGAGTGAAATCTTTTTCTTAAATATTCTTCTGTATCTGTCACTTTTTAAAATTGTACTATGCATACAACTTAAATTGCATTTTTTTTCTGTGTTTAACTCCTATCTACATGCAAACAATTGTATCTGGTTCTTTTGCTCTTTTGTTGAAAAACAGTTTGGAGAGGGTTAGTTTATTGAGCTGGAGTAGCTGACAACTTCAGAATGAAAATGTTGCCTTAGAACACTCTCCCCAAGTTATGTTGTCTTTTTTATTTTTAGTGGGACGATTTCTTTCCAGTTGAGCAAGCTGCCCAGGTAGGATATTGTTGTAGACAACTATAAAGATTCCTAGATAATAGGCCAGGTGCGGTGGCTCACGCCTGTAATCCCAGCACTTTGGGAGGCCAAGGCAGGTGGATAGCTTGAGGTCAGGAGTTTGAGACCAGCTTGGCCAACATAGTGAAACCCTGTTTCTACTAAAAATACAAAAAATGGCTGGGCGTGGTGGCTCACGCCTGTAATCCCAGCACTTTGGGAGGCCAAGGCAGGTGGATAGCTTGAGGTCAGGAGTTTGAGACCAGCTTGGCCAACATAGTGAAACCCTGTTTCTACTAAAAATACAAAAAATGGCTGGGCGTGGTGGCTCACGCCTGTAATCCTAGCACTTTGGGAGTCCGAGGCAGGTGGATCACAAGGTCAGGAGATCAAGACCATTCTGGCTAACATGGTGAAACACCATCTCTGCTAAAAATGCAAAAAATTAGCCAGGCGTGGTGGCGGACGCCTGTAGTCCCAGCTACTCGGGAGGCTGAGGCAGGAGAATGGCGTGAACCCAGGAGGCAGAGCTTGCAGTGAGCCGAGATCATGCCACTGCACTCCAGCGTGGGCAACAGAGTGAGACTCCGTCTCAAAAAAAATACAAAAATTAGCTGGGCGTCATGGCTCATGTCTGTAATCCCAGCCACTTGGGAGGCTGAGGCAGGAGAATCGCTTGAACCTAGGAGGCAGAGGTTGCAGTGAGCCAAGATCGTGCCATTGTACTCCGGCCTGTGCAACAAGAGTGAAACTGTCGCAAAAAAAAAAAAAAAAGTCCTAGATGAGAGATGTTTTGTCTAGGGATTTTATGTTTAACTCTGCTTAACGGGCTTGTCAGCACCAGCAAAGCCAGTTTTGATTTCTTCTCTCTTCTTACTCCTGTCTCCAAGCACCTTTGTTAAGTTAGAATCCAGAGCACAGAGAAAAATTACTGATGAATTCAATTGTATCATCAGCCCCACCTTCCTCATCCTCAGTTCTCATTTTCCTGTGGGTCTCCCCACAATTCTGTTGCTGTTGGGTTTGTTTTGTTTTTGTTTTGAATAGTGATCATTTATGAAAGGTTAACATGGGCCAAGCATGGTTCTAACATGTTTTACATGTATTTCTCATTCAGTCCTGAAAACTATCCCAGAATTTATGATGCTCATTTTTACAGATGAGGAACGTGAGGCACAGAGAAACTGAATAACTTGCTCAAGTCACACAGCTTGTAAATAGCAGAACCAGGTATTGAGTGTCTAGAGCCACTGTGTCTAGAGTTTACAACTTATTGTAACCTCTCAGGAACTGCTAACATGCTTTCTACTCACTATAACCTTGCTCAAGATCTGGAAAGCCACATATCATCATAGTCTGGGGTTTGGAGGTTGCATTAATAGTTATTTCCTTTTTTTGTAGAAGCACTTGTCTAACTTTTTTTTTTTTTTTTTTTTTTTTTTTTTTGAGACGGAGTCTCGCTCTGTCGTCCATGCCGAAGTGCACTGGTGCGATCTCGGCTCACTGCAACCTCCACCTCCCGGGTTCAAGCAATTCTCCTGCCTCAGCCTCCTGGCTAACTTTTTAATTATTGTTGTTGGTCTTCTTTTGTTGGAGATTTCATGGAGAAGCCCAGTATGTATGCACTGTACTTCAACTTTTGCCAGAAACCTTTAGTAGCATTATTTTCGGGTAAATTGCAAAATGGCTGTTTACTCCTGTCGATGAAAAGAGTCAAACTCTGTAAAATATTCTAAGAGATTTATTCTGAGCCAAATATGAGTGGCTGTGGCCTGCGACACAGGTCTCAGGAGGTCCTGAGAACATGTGCCTAAAGTGGTGGGGGTACAGCCTGGTTTTATATATTTTAGGGAAGTATGAGCATCAATAGAATACATTTAAGAAACACATTGGTTTGGTTTGGAAAATTGGGACAATTCAAAGCGGTGGGGCTTCCAGGCTGTGGGTAAATTGAAACATTTTCTGGTTGACAGTTGGTTGAGTTTATCTGAAGACCTGGGATCAATCGAAAAGAAATGCTTAGGTTAAGATAAAGGGTTGTGGAGACCGACTTAGCAGACTACAGAGAGAGCAGGTTGTAAACTGTTTCATATTGGACCTAAAAGGGTACCTGGCTCTTAGTTGATTATCTCCTGGATCTGGAAAACAAAGAAGGAAAACAAAGGAGAAAGGGGATTCTCTACAGAATGTGGATTTTTCCCATAAGGGATGGCTTTTCAGGGCCATTTCAAGATATGGCAGAGAAACATGTTTTGGGGTAAAATATTTTTATTTTCTTCCTTGTCATGCCAGAGTCAGATTGGAAAGTAAGTCACAATATACAAGGTTAAATAAATCCCATCTGATGAGAATTTATGGTTTGTAGGGCATGACTCCCCAAGCCCCTTAGATAGGAATTTGGACAAGAGAAAAATCAGAGTTTAGTCCTCTCTCTCTTATCCTAGGCGCTTTAGGGCTGTTCTGTTCAATATGGTAGCCACTAATCACAAACTAGTATATTTAACTTATATCACATATGGCTACTAAGCCCTTAAAATATTAAGCCCGTCCAGACTGTAATATGCTGTAACTGCAAAATGTACACTGCATTTAAAAGACTTATTACATAAGAAAGAATATAAAGTATCTCAATAATAATTTTTATGTTGATAGTACCGGAATAATATTTTTAATATATTAGGTTAAATAAAATGTACTGTTACAGTTAATTTCACTTGTTTCTTCTTACTTTTCAAATGTGGCAACTAGAAAAGGTAAAATTACATATCTGGTTCACATTAAACAATGCTGCTCTAGGGTTTCTTTTCATCCAGCAATGGCTTAGTTAAGACAGAGGAGGCAATATGGATCCACAAAAAAGTGTATGTGAAGCAGGGTGAAGAGTACATGGGGGTTGATTATACTACGTGGTCTATTTTTGCATATGATGGAAATTTCCCTTAATTAAAAGTTAAAAACAAACTCCCAAATATGCATAATTAATACAGAATTTTTTTGTCATGGTTTAAGTTCCAAGCATGTAACTCATCTGAACAATTTATCTGTTTTAAAATATAACGAATTTCCTCTTGGCTAGATCCCATCTGTAGGAGGTAAGCCGAAAAGGTGTACTGCACAAGAAGAAAACAATGCAGAGCTTTCAGTTTGGCCAAGAAGACAGGCTAGGTTCAAGGTAGGCAGTAGCTTCACACCTTGAGAATTTCTAGCTTATTTCTCTCTATAGGAAATATTTGGTACAAAGTCCACATTCAATGGGTAGTGCCTTGGGCCCATAGGAACCCAGCCTTATCAGTAACAGGTTTCACAACATCTGCTGTTTTCCTATGAAAGTGTACACACATAACTATGAAACCAGGTCATGAAGTGGGAAGCACTGATTAATTAAAAAGTGTCCTTTGTTTTATTTTTTTCTTGCAGCAGTACTTGAAGATTGCTTGTTAACCCCAGCATAGAGGGTAAGAGTATACCCTCGGGGTCAGACTCCCTGGTTTAACTCCTGGGTAACTTAGAAAGTGTTGCCTACATTTTCAACGTGTTGGTAGATTTTTTCCATCTGTGAAATAGGAAGCATAAGGTAAGTCTCAAAGGGTGTTGTAAGAATTCAATGAAATCATATGTGAGAAATGCTTTCACCATACTTGGCTGAAAAGAAGGACCCAGTATTTAGCTGTTGTTTTATGGCAAATTTTTGCTTATTTCTAGTTGTTTGACACTTTATAGATTTCCTAGCTAATGAAATATTCTGCCTTCTACATATAGTATGAGAAATGATCAATTTTCGAATCATTAAATGGCTCTCTTTATTTCTAGATGCAACTCCTGAGGGCAGGATCTGTGTAGTTAAATAAAAATTACAGGGGGCTATAGTTTTGGACTAAGTTTCTGCACTAGGCTCCAACAGACCAGACTAAAAATCAGAATAGAGTTACCTTTGATAAAGTTCCACATCACCAAATCCAAACTAGGTTGTTGTCTGACCTTCTGAGAAATCAGGAGAGAGAGATAACAGCCAGTTTCTCATACAGGCCTGGTTAAATCTCTGCTTTAACCTTTGTACAACAGAAGTAGCCTGAAGTAACCTAATATTAACTAATCAGTTATTTTTCGAATTATTCTGGCTTCCTGCCCCACCTTACAAGAAAAGTGGCTTTGAAAGGATCAATGCAATTTTCATTCTTTGCTTGTGCTTTCTTCCACCCTTTTTTGTCTATAAAGCCAACGTCATCTGCTCAGCTCATCGGAACACTTACTCTATTTTATGGAATGGAGTGTTGCCCAATTACAGAATCTCACATAAAGTCAATTGAGATATTTAAACTAAGTTTGTTGTAATTTTTGTCATTTGACAGTGTATTATTTATCTTTGAACCTTCAGTGTCTAGCATAATATGCAGCTCAGAATCTTTTTAAAAAGTCATGTTGACTGTAACAAAATACACCTAAAATTAAAGCCCTGGGCATTGTTCTTGCGGTTATAAAAGGTTTAAGACACTGGTCTCAGTATGTAAGCAATTTATAATGTGAAATGCATGTGGCTTTTGTATTTACCTTTCTTGGGGACATCATTCAACAAATATTTATTAGGTGCCTCCTATAAAGAAGGTGTGGAGCTGTGTACTGGGTGCCTCAGCGGGGTACAAAACAGACATGGTTCCTATGCCATAAAGCTCATTTTTAACAGGGTCGGCAGCTTTACATGACTAACTACAAAATTATGTATTAATAATTTCAGGAGAAGCAGAAGGTGCCAAGAGAGCAAGCAAGGGGACACCTAGCCTGAGCCGGGGGCCTCTTGAGAAGGTGATATTCAAAGGGATAGCAAAGACATGAGCAGCTAAAGTCCAGCAAACAGGGTGAAAGAAGATGATAACAGGCTTTCTGGGCTTTGAAAGCAGCCTGAAGTCCGCAGGAACAGAAAGAAGCAACATGAATGGTGAAGGAACTGAGGGAAGGCTGGCTTGCCTAGGTCTGGGTCTGGGGAATAGCAAGCTAGAATCCGTAGTTGGAGAAGTCAGCAGAGATCAAGGACCTGGCAAGCCATGTGAAGGATTTTGAATTTTATTCTGAATCCATGAAAAGACTCCCCTTCCAAAAGCGATGGCTTCTGGAATTTGCTTCCAATAGTCCAAGAACACTGGAGAGAGTGGGTGGGGTATATGTGAAGCAAAATTGGTCATTCATTGATAATTGAATGAAGCTGGGTGATGGGTACATGGATATTCATTATATTCTCAATTTTTGTGAATGTTTTAAATTTTTCATAATTAAAAAAAGGAAAAAAATCCCTCCACCTACAGTGAAGAGAAAGGACTGTAGAGGGGCGAGAACAGACTAGGAGGAGCCAGCCTTTGCTGTAGACCAGGTGAGAGAGAAGATGGAGTTTTGAACTAAGGTGGCAGCAGGATCTAAGGGAAGTGAGTAGATTCTGGTGATGCTGGGAGCTTGAATAGATAGAACTTGGTGATTAGATGTGAGGGACAGGAAGTGGGAGATGAAGCTCTCATGTGAACAAGTGATGTGCCAAGGGGCGGATTTTGGTATAGCCTTTTTTTTTTTTTTTTTTTGGAGACAGTGTCTTGCTCTGTCGCCCAGGCTGGAGTGCAGTGGCACAATCTCAGCTCACTACAGCCTCCACCTCCTGGGTTCAAGTGATTCATTCTCCTGCCTCAGCCTCCTGAATAGTTGGGATTACAGGTGTGCACCATGCCCGGCTAATTTTTGGATGTTTAGTAGAGGTGGGGTTTCACTATGTTGGCCAGGCTGGTCTTGAACTCCTCACCTCAGGTGATCCATCTGCTTTGGCCTCCCAACGTGCTGGGATTACAGGCGTGAGCCACCGCGCCCGGCTGAGCCTGGTATAGTCTTAACACTTCCTCCCACTAACTCCATCTATCTACCATCTAAGGTTTAATTTAATTCAGCAAACATTTTTGGATTCTTACTGTGTGCTAAGCACTGTTTGGGAGATGTGGGGGGGGGGGGCGGAAAAGAGGAACATGCAATTATAAATACACTAAGCTGTCATTAGTTGTCTGTGATGGGAGAGGCATTTTATATACATTACCCATAACCCTCACAGCATCCATGCAAAGTAGATATTATTTTATATTTTATAGATGAGGAAACGAGTTTGGGGAGGTTATGGAACCTGCCTGAGGACTGAGATGGAAGTCAAGTCCAATTTTTGGCTCTAATGCTTGTTGTCTTTCCCCTACACAAGTACTGAAAATGCAGATAAAGAAGTTTCAAAGAAAATTCTATCCATTTCAGTTGTTTTTCTCAGATTCGTACTGAGGCTGAAAACCATAGTTTCATGATCCCAAGGTAATGCTAATATGCTACCTGGAAGTTAATACATGAAAATCTGAGATGGGTCAAGCCAATTCACCATTTCCATCATAAAGAGCCACAGTTATCTCTTAATCAAGTTAAACTATCTTTCCCCATATGGTATGTTTAACCCTTTAAGTCCAATTACTGGAATGAAGTTTGAGAGTTTCATGTGTTCTTCTCTGAGGACAGGACTATTATTGCTCCAAGGCTAGCCACAGGCAAGATATCTAGCACTTTCTCTTCCCTGCTGTGATTCAAGTGGTTGTAGAAGAGAACTGCTTTGTCAAATATTTATATTCCTGCACTTATTTATTTTAAAAATATAGGCAAATATTTAGACAGTAAAATATATTCAAATGATAAGTTTATGTCAATTACATAGGTAAAATGTAGTGACCTAAGATAAAATGTAGTGATGAAATTTTCCTCCTTAACTTTTAAATTTTTAATTTTATTTTTTTTATTTACTTTTTTTTTTGAGATGGAGTCTCACTCTGTTGCCCAGGTTGGGGTGCAGTGGCATGATTTCGGCTCACTGCAAACTCCACCTCCCAGGTTCAGGTGATTCTCGTGCCTCAGCCTACCAAGTAGCTGGCACTACAGGCATGAGCCACCATGCCCGGCTTATTTTTGTATTTTTAGTAGAGACAGGTTTTCACTGTGTTGGTCAGGCTGGTCTCGAACTCCTGACCTCAGGTGATCCACCCGCCTTGGCCTCCCAAAGTGTTGGGATTACAGGTGTGAGCCACCGTGCCCAGCCAACTTTTTTTTATTATGGAAAATTTTAAACATGCAAAGAAAAAAAAAAAACTAGAATAGTATAATAAACCCCTGTGTTCCATTACCCAGCTTCAACAATTATTAACTCATGGTCAGTCTTGTTTCATCAATACCCCACCCACTCCCTCCTACACATTCTGTTCTGAAGCAAATCCCTGACATCATATCATTTCATCCGTAAATATTTCAGTATGTACTTCTAAAAGATAAGACTCTTTAGGGACCAAGTGTTTTGTCAAGCATTTCCTGAAACTGATCTGTGGGAAATTTGCCAAAAAAAAGTGGCTCAAATGTTTTGCAGAAAGCTGCACTTCCTGCAGGGGTGGGGAGTGAGGTTGGAGGTGATGGTCAAGTCCACCAGTGACAGCCTTTGGGTGAGGGTATGACTGGTCTTCACAGTGTCAGTACCCACTTAGAGAAAGTCAATCCTGTCCATACTTTGGACTTCAAATCCTGGACCACGCTCTTTGTTGTTAGCTTTCTCCCACCTTTTGTACCTGCAGTATTTGCAATGTCCTTTCCCAAAGGTTAGCTCATTTTAATTAAGACCAGTAACGGGGCCATCAAGGAAATGTACTGACTGTAAATACCTTGAGGGTAGAGTCTGGATACATAATTGTATCCCTATAGTACCTTGCATAGCACTTAGCCCATAGTAGGTGCCAGATGAGGTTGTCCAATAAAGGCAGTGAGGAAAGAAGGAAGGTATAACTAATTGAAAGAATGCCAGAGTTTTAGAAATGGTTAAATGTGACAATAAGTAAGACAGCAAGAAAAATAAAATCTATGAAGAGGCAGAGGCCAAATAATGCTTCCCCTCCCAAAGATGTACGCTTTTGAATACCCAGAACCTATGAATATGTTACCTTACCTGGCAAAAGGATTTGTGCAGATGTAAAAAAGTGAAGAATCTTGAGATGGGGAGATGATATCCTGGATTATCCAGATGAGGTCACTGTAATGGCGGGAGTCCTTATAAGTGAAAGAGAGAGGCAGGAGAGTCTGAGGAGATGTGAGGATGGAAGCAGAAGCTGGATTGACGCTTGTACTGGTTTTGAAGATGGAGGAAGGGGGCCATGAGCCAGAGGAGGTGGCAGCCTCTAGCATCTGGAAAAGGAAAGGAAACAGATTCTCCACTAGAGCCTCCAGAAATAGACCTGGCTGACACCTTGATTTTAGCCCTGTGAGATGTATTTTAGCCTTCTGACCTCCAGAACTAGAAGATGATAAATTTGTGTTGTTTTAAGCCACAAGTAGAAATTTGTCACAGCAGCCATAGGAAACTGACCTAGAGAATTTAGACAATCTTGCCTTAGTTTTTTTTTGCGAGATACATGATGAAGCCATTACAAACCAAGGCATAGCAGACTCTATGGGAAGTGGCCAGGTGCAGTGGCTCATGCCTGTAATCCCAGCACTTTGAGAGATCAAGGCGGGCAGATCGCCTGAGGTCAGGAGCTCGAGACCAGTCTGGCCAACATAGTGAAACCCTGTCTCTACTGAAAATACAAATATTAACTGGGCGTGGTGATAGGTGCCTGTGATCCCAGTTACTCGGAAGCCTGAGGCAGGAGAATTGCTTAAACCCGGGAGACAGAGGTTGAGGTGAGCCGAGATCGTGCCACTGCACTCCAGCCTAGGCAACAGGGTGAGAATCTTGTCTTTTTTTTTTTTCCTTTTTGAGATGGAGTTTCGCTCTTGTGGCCCAGGCTGGAGTGCAATGGCGCGATCTCGGCTCACCACAACCTTCGCTTCCCGGGTTCAAGTAATTCTCCTTCCTCAGCCTCCCAAGTAGCTGGGATCATAGGCATGCGCCACAATGCCTGGCTAATTTTGTATTTTTAGTAGAAACAGGGTTTCTCCATGTTGGTCAGGCTGGTCTTGAACTCCCAGCCTCAGGTAATCTGCCTGCCTCGGCCTCCCAAAGTGCTGGGATTACAGGCATGAGCCACACGCGGCCCGAGAGTTCATCTCAAAAAAAAAAAAAAAAAAAAAAAAGCAGACTCTATATGAGTTTAGAATACGTTCCTAAGGCAATCCTGTTGTCTCTATACTTGACACTGAACTATCAAGACATATGATACTGTGGCACGTGACAGAACTATCAAGGGATCGGGAGGGGTTGGTGTAGTTTAATACAGAGATTCAATTCAAATGATGCACCAGAACTTGGCTTCTCTCAGTCTCTCTTCTCTGTCCTTCTTCATATTGGCTTCATTCTCAGGCTTCACATGGCGGTAGCCTATCTGGGCTTATAGCTTCCACACAGGTTCTGGAATTTACTATGATTAGACTCATTTGGAATTGACTTAAATAAGGAGTGACATTTGAGCTGGAACTTGAAGGAAGAATGAGATTTGTGAATGGTTGCCCAGAAATAGTCTGGGCAAAGCCATAAGGATATGTGAGAGCTTGGAATGTTTGGGGAAGTCCAAAATTCTAACTCATCAGAGGTATGTGTGGTGGGCATTGGAGGAGGTGAATAGTGAAGTGGCCAATTTTTATCCAGAATTTTAGATGGCATCCCTACCCAACCTACATAATTTTGGCGAACATCATTCCTCCTACTCTACCTACTTATGCTAAGGAATGACGTAGATTGCTAGAAAACAACTACCAGAAGCTAGACGAGAGACGTGGAACAGTTCCTTCCCTCCCAGCCCTCGGGAGAAGCCAACTCTACTGATGTCTCAATCTCACACTTCCAACTTCCAGAGCTGTGAGACAATACCTTTCTGTGGTGTAAGCCACCTAGTCTGTTTTACTTTGTGATAGCAGTCTTAGCAAACTAGTGTGGAAGGGAGAGCACGGATAAAGGATGTGTTATCAATCAAGTCACCAGTGTGAGCAAATAGATCCTAATCCCCCTGGAGAACTCTGCAGACAGTGTAGACTGTACAACTCAAAATTATCCTGCCAGACAGACCCCAACAGTAATGGGTAAAGATTTGAATAGATATTTTTCCCAAGAAGATACACAGATGGCCAGTAAGTACAAGAAAAGATGCTCAACATCATTCATCATTAGGGAAACGCAAATCAAAAGCACAATGAGATATGTCATACCCACTAGGATAACCACAATTAAAAAGACAATAATAACAAATGTTAGTGAGAATGTGAAGGAATTAGAACTCTCATTCATTGCTAG